AAACTTGACAACGAGAATTAGACCAATACAGGATTCAAAGGTAGATTCATAGAAATTCCCAAATTAAACAATTTGACACGCAAAAATTATGATTATAATTAATTTTTTAGATCAGACTAGCTACATGAAATGGTACGCGTTAGATTTATCTGATTATAATCCATGATAGGTATATTTTACGGAAAATTATATTGTTGACCATATATAATTCATTTCAAGGGGGACTTTGACCCAAATTAGACATATTTTTACTTGTTTTTTGGTCAGTTTCTTATGTTCATCATTTTTATTAAAAGAAAGAAGACTCAGTATATATTGGTGTGTGTAGTTGATGTATTTTATATATAAAAGTATCCTATAGTTTTATGTGAACTTTAACATTTATTCTGGTTTGAAGCACGTTTACGGGCCTTTTACAAATATTTGTTTTTATGTATTTATGATTAAAATGAATGTAAATTATGAATTAAATTGATGTTTCCGGAAAATTGGAACTGCTACCACAACGACATATATAATTCTAGCAAAATTTTGGCAAGGCCAACCAGTGTGCTTTGATTATTAAATTATCTATCGTTCTTATTATTGAAAAATAAAAAAAAGTTTTCCGCATAGCTATTGATATTTCACTACACATTATCATGATCTATAAAGGCACCGACATTGTTAATATAAGGGTTATAATGATTACTTCGCTTATAATTGATGTGGGCGCCTGTTATATTGTTAAAATATGTTAAAACACTAAAAATGTTTTGGTAAGTTGAGAAATATGGAACCAACAAATGAGTATTATTATTAAATGAATGTAAGTAAAAATGTAATACTATGAAAATGATGAAATGATATATTGAGGGTTTGAGTAGAAGCAAGTTTTTTTTTATTTGATTTGTTAATTAAGTAGAATTAATTTTGAAAAATTGGTCCGGTTAAAAGTGAGTGAGATTTAAAATTTGTATTAAAATAATATTTAAAACAAAATAATCCAAGTTGATTGGAAAATATGTATAACTAAAATTACATGAATAGATACATAGTTAATTAAAGTTGATGTGATGTATAAAGATGATTGATTAATATTATTTAATTATATAAATAATATTGAGAATAATGAGGTTGAGTTAAATTTGAGTTGTGATTGAATTATTTTGATAAAAAGTTACAACCTTATATTAAGCATGCACTAATTCACAAATAACAACAAAGTAAAATCGGATGCTGAGTAGTACATGATTAATGTGAATTTTTTATTTATATAAAAATAAAAAAAAATTAAGTGGACAAAAAAAAAAGGTCGACAAAAATAAAAAGCACGTATTTCAAGAATACGATTTTCAAAAATAAACTTATTTAAAGAATATGTTTTTACTCATAAAACGCATTTAGAGAATACGTTTTCCTAAAAAAATTAATTAACGTAAATAATGTAATTAAGTTAATTAAAACAGGAGAAAATGTATTACCGAAATACGTTTTACGTTAAAAAAAACAAAAAACGTATTCCTGGAATACGTTTTATAAATAAAATTAATATTCAATTTTAAAAAACAATTTTTTGCAGGAAATAATATTTGAAAAAATAAACGTATTCTGAAAATACGTTTTTTAACCTTAATTTTTGGCCCAATTTGATTTTACCCTAATTTTAGCCCCAAATCGATTTGTCCTAATTTTGCAGAGTAAAACGTATTTCAAGAATACGTTCTGAAATACATTTTACTGTGCAGAAACAACACTATACAGAAAAAATTACAAAAACACCTGTTAATCGAGATCGATTCCACAAACTCATATCAATCCATTCGTCAAAGAAAGAAAAATGAAGCACAATAATTCATTGTCCAAACAAGTCCAAATATCATTACACATAATCCACCACGAAAGAAAAAAATAAATATATATGTCCACAAAATTCCCGGAATACAACACAACTAACTATGAGTGTATCGATTCGTAGGGTTGCGCGATCGGGAGCTAACCCGACGCCGTGGTGGTTGTGAAGAAGACGATGTTGTGGGCGTTGTAGGTTCTTCTTCTTCTTCTTCTTTAGCTGAGTAATTCATTTTTTTTAAAAATCAGAAATTCGACTTAACAAAAATCACAAAATATAAATAAAATTATATTTTTGTTAAGTAAAAAATGTTTACCTTCTTCTTGATCTTCCTCAGGCCCAGTGTCGGCAACAGGTTCGCGGTGACGTCGTCTTCTACCTCCACGAATATGGGCAGGAGGTTGATTCCTCGCCCGGTGTGACTGCGTCCTCTGGGGTTGGACGTAGCTTTCCTGTGATAAAACTTGGCTCGACGACGTCCCTTGGCCGATCTCTCCGCCTCCGACAGTCAGAGAAGTGAAGAGAAGGTTCTTGGTATGTTGGATTGCCGTCTGCATCTCCGGATGGGCTGTATGATATAGATGCTCAACATTGGATAACACGTTATAAGCCCCCTCCATGCCGCTAGCCTGAAAATTAAATTCAAAGTAATTTGTATGAAACGCAAAAAAAATAAAATAATAATAATAATAGGAAAAAAAACACACAAATTATGAACACTTACATCGCACTTCCAATGCTCGGCAAGTGGCTGATAGCCTCCGTCCTGTTGCACCACCGGGTACTTGGCAGGGTCACTGATTAGTCTCACAGTCCTACTGTGAAACCAATCAAGGTAACCCTCGCCAGGCTGTACGAATGACTCCACACGCTCATCTGGGAGGACATTTTGGTGTTTTTGTTCGACCCAAACATTCCCGTACTGGGAATGAACGTCGACCCAATCATATACTGCCCTCCCGGTCATTCTTTGGCCTCGGTGGTGTGTCTCCTAGTCGACCTCACCCGTAATGATCGGAGTGTCGGGGATGGACTGATGACACCCGAACTGACGGAGGACTCTACCCGGCTCTTGGGTTTCACGGATGCTGCAACAGAACATCCAGCCCCTATACATCCAGAGGCTTGAATGTTCTGTACACTGGGCCGGGAGAGCATTAGCATTCAGGAGCTGTTCATACGGCATCCAATCGAACTGTAAAAAACGAAAATAATAATAATAATAATAATAATAATAATAATAATAATAATTAAGTTATTAAAAGATAAAACACATAAAACAAAAAATAAATAACAATCAAATATACTTAATAATAATCTTACATCCGTCTCTCTTAGCCCTGTCAGTTGATCCCGGACAGCGGCTGTTCCAGTGACTATGTGTCTCGTGTCCTTCCGTCCCACCCACCTTAAAAATCAAAGAAAAAAAAAAACTTTGTAATTACAAAATTTGATAATTGAAAAATCAAACTATAAAATATATAAATAAATGTCATTACCTTCCACCTAAAGGACAACTAATGACTCTTTCAAAGTTCGTATCCCTCATTCTCGGGCGAAGCCGAGGGATACGTTCCCATGCCCAAACCTAAAGATATCGACATATTCATTTGTTGGCTATCCTTGCTTTCTTCATCAACAATCGCATAGGCGATTGGCAATAGCCGCTTAATCGCTGTCTATGCTATAGCCACAAGCAGTTTTCCCTTGTACGATCCGCGCAAGTGTGTGCCATCGATGCTAGTGACCAGCGGGCATCGTTGGAAGGTCTGAATGGCGGGACCAAACGCCCAGAATACAAATTTGAATTGTCTGTCTTCATACTGATGCGCCATTTCCCCTGCCATTCCTAAACATATAATTAATTTTTGCTTACCGAGGGAGTTCTGCGAAGTTCGATTCCCAACAGCCATACACACGCTCGATGGATTTTCTCCTTTCGTGCCACGCCTTCTTGTAGCTGACATCGACTTTCCAGCACTGTTTCACATCGGCCTGGATAAGTCTAACGTTGTAGTCCAGTTTCTTTTCAATCTTGTTAATTACAAGATTTGAAATCATACGAGCGGTTACGTTTCTGTGGTCATTTCTCTCGACCCGTTGCATACAAGTGTGTCTGTCAGTCCATTCAGTTAATTCTCACATTTCATGAACCCGTTTCTTAGTCACCCGAGCCTTCCACACACAAGGTTCATCTTCATTAGATCTACACACCACTTTGCATAACTTTTGATTAGAATCTATTGTCCGAACCGCCCTCAGCCTATCAACGTTCCAAGCCAACAGACCCCATTGTGCTTCTTCCTTGCTCCTAAAAACTGTACCCAAATGTATGGTCGTAATGTCGCCATTCCAAGATGGAAGAGCATACTCGTTCTCATCTATCTTCGATGGATCCCATTCACCCATCTCGCGATAAATGTGGCGACCACCACTAGGAAGAGGGTCTTCCTCTTCAATCAATTCCGGTTCACTCTCTTCATTTATCGATCTGTCTGATTCGATTTTGGAGGTCTCATCTGTGAAATCATCTTCACCAGGAATGAAATCTTCTTCTTCTCAGTTCTCATTTTCCCATTGCATTGTTGAGCTTGTACCTTCTCCAAAATTACGTAGATGGGAAGTCGACGTACCCTCAACATCCACCTCTCCCCCGTAACACCCCACACATCCTCAACCTGTGTAACCGGTGTAATTGCCTCCAACGATAAATGCAAATACACCATGGACATAAGAGGAAGGTAATAAATATACTGAAGAACACTTTCATTATTGAGTCTTAAGAAATTCAACGAACCACCGCGTTGCTCATTATTAAAGTAATCTCCTTCATGTCCAACCTTCTCCGAACCAACAATTTTCATTAATCATTTCTACCAATTGTTGATATGATATCCTCTCCGGAATAAACAATGAACTATCGGGACGATCTTTAAATAAAACAAATTCACTTAACCTTTCCTTACCAAAATGTCAGTACAAATTAACAAAGTATGGACCAGAATATGCCATTAATACCTGTTGCAAAAAGACACTTTCAATTCTTCCCAATTACAACAACACATAATGTCTAATGTCTAATCCAACACTAAAAAAATTCAATTATTTCGGATAAATTGATAGCCCTAATTCTAACCCTAATTTCGAAAACCCTAAACCCAACAACAACCAACCAATACACAATTAACAATTTACAACAAAATTCCAATCTCCAATTCAACATATACACATATTCAATAAATAATTAACAATTCTCAATGTTCAAACAACACCACATTCAAACATACTATAACAATTCCAATTTCCAAACAACTCCAAACAATGTAAAAAGTTAAGATAAGCCAATATACCTTGTGCGAATGAATTAACCAGAAATGATACTCGTGTCGTTGTTGTCGATTTGCGTCGGGTAGGATTGGATCGCGTTTTTTTTTTTTCCTGAAGTTCTCCGCTTCAAACTGCTCGCAGCAGAAAGAAAGAAATGGAAAATGGGAGCTGTGCAAGTGAGGGAGAAGAGAGATTTTTTTTTTTATATATTTCATTGTAAAACGTATTCTGAGAATACGTTGTACTTATAATTATTTGTAAAACGTATTCCCAAAATACGTTTTTGTTATTTATTTTTTTTTTGGTAAATTTAAATTTATAAACGTATTTACTAAATACGTTTTATAATTACTATTTTTAATTCAATTCCACTATTACACGGAAAATTATTATTTTTTTTATTTTTTAAAAATATTTGTAAAACGTATTACGAGAATACGTTTTTGTAATAAAATTTTATTCGAAAAACGTATTATCAGAATACGTGGTTTTGATTTTTTTCCATTTTTTTTTGTCCACTTATTTTTTTCTTTTTTTTAAATAAATAAATCACTTTGATTAATGTTGAACAATTTAAAAACAATAGAGAAGTTCAAATTTCTTTATAATTAGACGGGATAAAAAAAGGAATTTCAATTGTAATTGTTGTGCTTAAAACTAACCTAATAAATAAACAGTTGATTGCTTCAGTTGAAAGTGGAAACAAAAAAGATAAACACATCTCGTCTTTTGGACAAGTTGTAACACAAGTATTAGAAGTTTAGAACAAGCCAACATTCCAAAAATTATTTAGCTCTTTTCCCTAATAAAAACAAATTTCTTATTTCCTCTCTCCACATATATGTGTATTGTTGTGTAAGGGACTTTTTTAAAATTATTCATATTATCAAACTAAAGTATTATTTATTTAAAAATAAACTAAAAGTATTATTTGTTTATTTATCATATTAGCAAAATGCCAAAATTACATTCTCCTCTATCTGCTATCATTCTGTGAATTAATTCCTCCCTTGTTCTCTCTCTCTCTCTCTCAATTTCTGCATATCTACTCTTGTGTGTAAACACGCACGCCGTATTTCTCTCTTCATTCGATTTTGGGCAGCGTAAACTTTTACCTACTTTTTTGTGCGCGATAATATCGTTTCTTTGCAGCTCGATCTTTGTCTCAATTGACTCCACGCACTCTAATTATTGAGCTGGTTTTTCTTTTGCTTTTCATTTCTTCCAAGTTTCTTTTGACGGAAAAGGATCTGCAGAAATCCGATTTATTTCACAAACAAAGATGATCGTGATGGGTTTTGGGCAACTGGGTCTTTGCCAATTTTAGCAATTCTATAATTTTGGCCGAAAGGTTGATTTTTTCTGGCTTCGTAGGGTGAAACATCTTTTTTCTTAACGATTTTTTGGGTATTCAGAGTCGGAGATGTTCTGAAAGGATTGCCAGCAAACTTTTGAGAAGACCCAGCTGAATTGAGGGGGAAAAGAAGAAAGAAAGAAGAAAAAGGAGCTTGAAGACAACACCATAACACATGTCAACGGTTGCAATAAATGCTGCAAAGACTGAATCAGGGTCGTGCTCAAGAGTCCCTCGTCGCTTTGAAGATCTTAGAGGGGTGCAATGGCGCATAGATTTGGGGATTTTACCATCTTGTCCATCGGCTTCCATCGATGATCTTCGTCGGGTTACTGCCAATTCAAGGAGGAGGTATATGTAGTTGACTCTGCAATTGGGTTATTTGATTTTAATTTTTTTCAATTCGTGGTGTGGTCATCGCCTCTCATGTTTTAATACCCTATAATCTCAATGAAGTGTTTGTTAGGTTGTGCTTACCGTTAAATAAAGATATTTCTGAGGATTAAAGAGACTATGTTGTATGTTATTTTGTACTGGATTCTATTAAAATGTCATCATGATAAACTTATTGGGTAACCATCAGTTTTTCTGATTATTGGTAGTTGGCAACAGGTTTTCTGATTATTGGGTAGTTTGTTAAGAAGAGCTTGTAAACTCGAGTAAGAAGTGTTGGTCCCCAAATTCCGTTAAGTTGCTCTAAGTGAGTGAACGTAAAATCAACTTTGTTGTGGTTAGCTTCTTTCTGCTGGTTTATGTGGTAATGCTAATTTGACCATGTCAAAATGTTTAATCATCACATTGTCATTTTCTAAATAAAAACTAGAAGTTAGCTGGAAGGCAATTTGTCCTGGACAATTTAGGTTTACGTATATCTCAAGTTAGAGCTATGATCTTATGCAGGTATGCTGCTTTGAGGAGGCAGCTTCTGGTTGATACGCATGCGCCAAAAGATGGAAGTAGTTCTCCTGATTTTGTGATTGACAATCCATTGTCTCAAAACCCAGGCAAATTATCTCTTCTTTATGTATCAATTTTCTTGAATAACATGGTTTGCATGGAAGTATGTGTGTGATAATATTTAAAGAAAGTGAAAGAGTAATACCATGCTCATGGTCATGTCGGATATTTCTGTTTTGCCATCTTCTTTTATATGCATTGCCTAATACTCACTAGTTCTTGTTTCAGCCATTTTATTAATTTTTTTATCTGTCCCTTAACCCATTTTTAAATCTCGGTTTGGAGTTGGGAAAACTCTGAATAGTATGTCATCTTTACTGTTTCCCATTGCTAGAATTCCCAAGGTGCAAAGATAGCTGCGTTAATGCTTTGATTTTAATCTGCAAATTTCTAATTGGTTGTTTTGTTTCTGATTGTTCTCTATCTCAGACAGCATGTGGGGTCGATTCTTCCGAAATGCTGAACTGGAGAGAATGGTTGATCAAGATTTAACACGTTTGTATCCCGAAAGAATTGGCTATTTCGAGGAAAGCAGTTGCCAGGCCATATTAAGACGAATCTTACTGCTTTGGTGCCTTCAACATCCAGAGTATGGCTACAGACAAGGTATGGTGAAAACTAGTCTTACGGTGTTGACATGTTGATGATTCTGGTGTTTGCTCAAAGTAAAACTAGTCTTATGGTCCCACCACTTAAGGAATTGACTTTCAGGAGAAATAGTACTTTTACGGTGGTCCGCCATTCCTTAGTTTTAAAAAATTACTAGTCCCATACCCGTGTACTACACGGGTGTTGAGTTAAGAAATATATGATATAAAAGTTATTGCTAATATAAAATTTTTATTTAAAATTTTGATGGACTAATTGATGAAATAAAAAGAGGAATAGAAAGTGCATAAAGTGATTTGTAAATCATAATTTAGGAGAGAAATATATGAGAAAATTATAAAATAGTAAAATTGTTACTTGCCCAAGTTACGAAGGAAATTTGTACTAAGAGAAAAAAAATTAACAAAACTAAATGTACATTTACCAAGTTTGAAAAAAGTTATTTATGTCTAATACCAAACCTAATTCCAGAGCAAAAATGAATATACAAACGACATTCGGAAGCATAGATTTTCGCCATGCCAGCCTCCGAAGCGTGTGAGTCTGTCACTTAGGCTCAACACGTTTTGAATTAATATATAGGGAGGGATCTGTCCTGTGATATTGATCCATGGTGTACTTTATTGCGACACATTTTGGGCGTACAGAGAGGAGCGAAACCCGGTTTTGTATCTTTATTACCAAAACTCAAAATATCTGTCCTAATAAATTTCTGTCTTCTATCTTAAAGCTATCTATCTCTTTATATATTTTTGCAGGAATGCATGAGCTCCTAGCTCCCTTACTATACGTCCTCCACGCGGACGCCCAGCGCCTCTCGGAAATCCGCAAACTCCACGACGACGACCACTTTCCCGACAACTTCGACTACGGAAGCCCAGCCCGAACCCAAGCCCGCGCCCCCGACGAGCTCGACCCTAAGACCCGAACCCTCGTTCTGCTCAGTGACTCGTACGGCGCCGAGGGCGAACTCGGCATTCTCGCGTCCGAAAAATTCCTCGAGCACGACGCCTACGCAATGTTCGACTCCCTCCTCCTCGGCGGCGGTGGGCCCCTCGCCATGTCAGACTTCTTCGTCCACTTACCACCCTCTCGTGGGCCCCACTCGGGTTCTCCCCCCGTGATTGAGGCCTCCGTCGCCCTCTACCGCCTGCTCTCGAAAACCGACCCATCTCTCCACGCACACCTCGTCGAGCTCGGGGTCGAGCCGCAGTACTTTGCCCTCCGCTGGCTGCGCGTGCTCTTCGGCCGCGAGTTCTCGCTCGACAACCTTTTATCCGTGTGGGACGAGATTTTCGCGAGGAAGAATACGAAGACTGAGAATGCGAGGGAAGCTTTCGTGTGTGCTTTTGGGGTCTCGATGATACTCCACCTGAGGTCGTCCCTGCTGGCGACTGAGAATGCTACCGTATGTCTTCAGAGGCTGCTCAACTTTCCGGAAGATGTTGAGATTGAGAAGCTTCTGGAGAAGGCAGAGCAGTTGCATGAGCTGGCAATGAGGTCGAATGAGCCGGTTAGGTCTGTGCTCGCGAACAGAGGCCATAGCCTGTCTCTGGACTCGCCTCTGAGCATGGTGGTCGACAGCTACTGGGAAGAGAAGTGGAGGGTTCTGCACAAGGATAAGAAGGAAGAACAGAACAAGAAAGTGGAGGAAGAAGTTCCTTACCGTAAAAAGGGTTGGTCTGAAAACGTGGGGTTTCGCCTCTCGAGAACTGAGTCTGATCCTTCCCCGTCGAAGAAGAAGGACAGGAACAGAATCCCGAGGCCGTCTGTGAGAAGAAATTTGCTGGAGGATCTTGAACGGCAGCTAGGTTCGGATGATGGTCAAGATGTTGTTATAGAGTGCAATCAGGATAATAACGAGCATCTTCAAGAGTCGATTGAGGTTAGCGCCGTTAATAATTGCGAAATCGCATCAAGCGAAGAGAATTCTTCCAATTTCTCAGACCCAGTGGGGTCCACGAATGGAAACAGTGACAATGAGAATGAGAATGAGAGCGAGATTAGTGTTAGGTCGAACTTATCAGTGGATGATAATGATTCTGTGTCGTGTGTAACTAATCTGGAATGTTCTCCACTTCCTCTCTCGGACCCACCTGAAGGATTGTCTTCTCAAATTATGGAAAATGGCGAGTCTTTGGAGAAATCGGCAATCGGGGCTCCGCCCAAGGAGAGAAAGGTGGTGTCAAGTAAATTTCATTGGCTGTGGAAGTTCGGTAGGAATGGTGGAGAGGGGACATCAGAGAGAACAAGTGGTTTTATGGATGGGAAAGGTTTAAATGGTGAAGGTTATGAGAAGACTGTGGGTGGGGTGTCGAGTTGTGGGACGAGCAAGGGTGAGACAGTCGATCAGAACTTGATGGTTAGCTTGAAAAATCTTGGCCAATCCATGCTTGAGAACATTCAGGTATGAATCTAAGCTGAATCTCTTCAGAACTTTGTTTGTGCTAATGAGTGGGATTTTTTTCCCTGTTTTCTGAATATATATTGATAGTCTCCNCGTAAAGTACAAAAAAATGGTTATTTTCACAACTGCAACTGCAAGTACTTCTTTATATTTTGCTTCAATTTGATAAATGAAACCTTCGATAGGGCAGTAGATAGATGGTGTTTTTTACCGTAACCTGATTTTGGGCTCCTCGAAAAAAATTCTTAAATCGCTTGTTTTTGAGCGTGCAGGTGATAGAGTCTGTGTTCCAGCAGGATAATCGGAATCAAACGGTATCCTTGGAGAATTTGTCAAAGAATGGTCTCGTCGGGAAAGGACAAGTCACAGCCATGGCCGCACTCAAGGAGCTTCGAAAGATCAGCAATCTTTTATCTGAGATGTGAAGCCTATGTATTCATTTAATTACATCATATCTCCGATTATATAAAAATAAAATTAAAAAAAAAAAATGGATTCCCTCCTTTTCTTGTATCTAGTCAATTTTGTGGGATATTACCTTAAACTCAGTGTAAATACAGATATCCTGCTGTGTAAAAACAGGCACGATTTATTTGATTCAAGTTATCGGTTTTGGATGTCATGTTCGAAATCAGCTATAGATTTTAGCTTGAGTTATTTATGGATAAAAAGCTTTAGTTAAAAATAAACGACGACGTTCTCATGTTCGCTTGAGTTTTTTTCTTCTCTAAACCAGCTTCCAGGAAAAAAGAAAAGATGATCTTATTATCATTCACAATAAGGCCACTCGCTCTATTATCATCAAATCCAATTATAAACCAACAGACAAAACAACCGCTTGAAAGGCATATCATCATCATATAAATTCAATTTTCAAACTACGAAATCATTTGTCATCCTTCAGCAGCAGCTAAGACAAACAGGCACATATTACATGAAATCCATGCCTCGAACTCTTCCTTTTTGAGACAAAAATATGCTTAAAACATTAATTTAAAACTCTAATCTAAGTTATTGAATCCAGGCAGAAGTGAGGTAATGAAACCAAAGACAATAATTTGAATCTCTTTCACAATTCCCCACCACCGATTGCCGGCTTCAACCTGCTCATTTTGTTCTCCACCATGCTCATTATCATCTTCAGCTCTATCACCATCACCCGCTTGATCATTCTCGTTTTCTGCCCCTGGGCTCGTCAAATATTGAAATTTATTAGTAACTTGCATTATTATATTATATTCTCTTTCACCCAAGTACGGAAGATGGGTACGATTTTCTTTCATCCCACAAATACAGACCTGTTCCTTTAAAAGATTAGCAACCGAAAGGATAGAATCACGAATATGTAATAATAATCATTAACTCAAAGGGCATACTTGGAATATAATATACTGCTAAATTTCCTTTCCAAATAACATTTATAGATAGATGTTTTCTTGAATAAAAAACTAAGTAATTAGTCTATCTTTGTGGGCTGGGAGTATTAGCAATCATCAAATATTAGAATCTTTGAATAACGTGGTGTATAGTGCAGAAAAATACCTTTAACCAACAACTATGAAAAACTTGAACAAAATTACCTGCTAAGCCAGCATTTTCATCTCCTCGTCCTTCGGCTGCAGGCAAATTGTCCGCTCGAGGTGGCTGGGGACGAGCCACTGCCCTTTGTGTTCTTTCTGAAAGCCACCGAATTACAGGTGCAAGTGCTCCAGTTTGATATCTGCATGATGCAAGAACAGAAATATAAATTAAACCCGTTTTAAATTTTAGACCTGTATTTTGAAGGCAGTAGCAAAATTAGTCCTGTAACCAAAAAGTATGTTTGTTAAAGGGATATGCTAACGATCGAAATATTTCACGTTTGCTCGTAACAAGTTACAAAATAATCCCGACATCGTCATATTTATGTAGTTATGAGACATTTATGCGGGATTTGCTTATCTCACAGTACACTTGTTGCTACTATCCTGAAGTGCAGGACCATATTTGCAATTTTGCCTTCATGCCATGTAAGCAAAAACAAGAACTTACTTACTCAAGAATGCAATTATTACCACAAGAAGGACGATAAGAAATTGGAATCCTATGAATTAGTAGTTCCCCAAGAGGGTGAATAACAAAAAATTTATCTCATCAACTTACAAATAAACTAGTGAAGCAAAGAAAACGAGGAGAGTAAGCCTCTGTTTAGATCCATCCTGGTTAAACAAGAAGATAACCGCAGCCAGTTTTAAGATAAGCAACAGATCAAGCTGGATAGCAATTTGAAATCTCCGAACAACGACTTGTCTTTGAGGTCCAGCTTCTTGCTGTTGTTGAGGTTGTTCTTGTAGTTGTCCCTGCTCACCACCCACACCTCCATTCCCTGATGAACTTCTTGCACTGATAACAGCCAAAAATTAAAAAATAATAAAATAAAACAAGAACAAGGCAATCTTTTTGTTTATATATAGTCGATGCATTTCACTAAAAGATTTGTTGTGATTCAATTAGCGTAAAAAAAATTCCATCTCAAAATTGACAAACACAAGAAATAAGTACCTCCACATAAATGCGGGAAAACTTACGTGGGTATGTTGTAGGTGAAAGGGATAAGAGTATTGGTCGGGAACCCAGTAATGGATTGTGCGAATGGAAGAACTGGGACAGCATACAGGCCCGGCCCACGATTCATTTGGTCTTGGTCCAGTTGAGGAGGGAACAGCCCAGGAACTAAGGCAGGGTACATGATTGGGCTCATCGGGTTATTGCTGCTAAGGGGTTTTACATCATCAAATGGAGGTGCCTATCACAAATCACAAGAGATTATACAAGAATATTTATATAAGTATAATATGCCTATGAAACCCTCGTGCTTATTCTTTACTGCAGAATACAACGAGAGTTTCATGACATTCTTAGAGTCGAACAACAATCCCACTATTCCAATTTTTCCTTTTTTCTTTTTCTTTTTTTCTTGGTGCATTCAATGTTCACTATCACAGCTCCTTACGATTGAAGGCACATATTTTACTGAAGTGAATATCAAAATCTTGAGAAAGTACATGAAATTATAAGAAAATAATCAAATTTCATTTGAGAATTCAATTGCTTCTCAACTACTAAAAACTTGTAATATATGGTCATGCAGACTCAGCAAGAAAGAGGAAGGCAATTGGTAACTTTTGGACCATTCATCTACTTAAAGCTGCAACCTTTATGCTGGTACTAATTAAATTTTATTTTATTTATTTTTTTTACGAGTAAGAAGACCCCTCTGTAGTCTGTGCAGATTCCCACTGATCTCCGTTTATTACCTCAAGCAATATACCTATAGATCGACTAAGCTTATAAAATTGATCATGACTACGTTAAAAGAGTGTAAGAGGACTTTGCAATAAGATTAATATGTTTTAACTCCAAAGACAGAACACATAAACCCTCCAATCGAGAATTTATTTTCCCTGAAGTTTCCTCTTACTCCTGATATGCCTCCATACCTATCAGCCATCACATTTCATCACTATTTTTCAAATTCCAGGAAAATAATGTTTTTCCGAACAAATCATCGTTTCACAGTTATTGAATCAAGGAAGATTTACCAGCAGTCAAATGCATTCTATTAAAGGGGCAAACACCAAAATCATGCTTCAGGAAATTCACAAAAATGTTAGTTTATGCCTAATACGACCAAAATTGGCATATTAGGAAAGAAAAAGGTGAAAAAGTTTGCAATTTTATAATTTTCCCTAATTCTTTCACCCCCAGCTGAAACATCACCAATTCTTAAAAAGTAAAGGGAAATCTAGTGAAAAACGGCATGATACCTCGATCTAGAATCTTGAGAACGCCAGCATTAAGGAACAAAAAACTTAAATTTAATGTTTAGTCGATCCAGGAACATGTTATTGGACACAAGATAGACAACAGAAAAGTGGGGAATAATCACCTGGGATTGATCCTTGACGACGTCATTAGAAGAATACTGATGAGAAGATGAAGAGGGATGTGTTTCGGGGCCTTCCGCCATTGCCGAATCCTTCCCGATGATCCAAAGAGCTCTGTTTATTTTCCTCTTTTCGTTCTTGATTTTATTGACTTCCGCTTTTCATTCCTCAGTCGAAAGAGGGAGCTACTATAACGTGTTCTTTGAGCGCTTGGTCCAATAAGATCCTGCCACGTAAATGTGACAAGGATATATATGTTTTATCTCCTACTGAGTCAATATAGTTGCTAGGCAGGTCGACTCGTTGAACTTTATGATAAAACTATAAATTTACACTATAAAATTTCATAGTTTTATTTATGATATTTTTAAAGTATGATATTATCTAATGATAGACATATTTTTGAAAAGAGTATGTTGACTATTGGTAAAGCATGTCTAACGAAGACCTACCGTTTTTTTAACGAAATAATGAATATTAAATGAATAACTTAAAATCAGTACAAGACCGGAACTGACACATACTACCAAGAAAAAAAAAAACTTAACACCTATAAATACCCACAACATGTGACAAAACACTTTAAATATGAACGTACGACCAACAATGGCGATCTCATCCACTAATTTACCCATAAATGAAGCAGGCATTAGATAGCGGGCGTTCAGCAAGACTCATCGGAAAAGATCAGAGGGCGGTGGTCAGGTTGGGAAGCAGGGTTCACCGGGCTGTTCTCCAAAGGTGGACACGGTGGTCAGTGGTCGGGAGTGGAGAACATGCGGTCGTGAAAGTGAACAGAGGAGGCGGCGGCGGCTGGACTTGCAGATGATTAAGAAATCTATATAGACGACCTGTTTCCTCCACCAATATGGTTGATGATGGCTCGCCAAAAAAATTCAGGTTCTCATGGGTGGACGATGAAGATGGAGGAGACATCGCATGGCTTGCCACGCTAGCGTATTTTCTGATCAGTAATTTACTGGTCTTAGGCGGTGGACGTTTTTGAAGAAGAATGTATAGAGTACTCCGGTGAAAATTTTACTCTCAGGTCTTGAAGACAGAGGAAACGTTTTATGGTGTTCGACGGTCATTCAACATGACTAGTCGGATTTTCTGGTAGGGGATTTGCTGGGCTTAGGCGGCGAACCAGCAGATGGTGAACGGAGGGTGGTGCCGGAATTGACGCGGGTCAAGAGAAGTGGATCGATCGACATGAGAGAGGAGAGAGGAGTTAGAGCAGCAGAAACAGAAGAGAATAACGCACAACCTTCTTTTTCTAATTTAGAATTGTTTTGATGTTTCTCAATTTTTGATTTTTCATAAGCTTTTTTTTCTTTTCTTTTCTTTTTCTTTTTTTTTTTTAAAAAAAAATAAATTTGTGATCNGCATCTTTAAAAAAAAAGGAACAAATTTTTATAAGTCGTGAGCACAACTCATATGGACATAACCAATACATTTGACGTGTATAAGAGTGCTCATGCCTTACAAAATAAATAAATTAATTAATAAAAATATACCTAGAAATTACCTAAAATTCCTACCAAAACTAAAAAAATAACAAAACAAAGACTAACCTAAAATTAAAATCAAGTAGAAAAATAAAATAAATTAAAAATAACTAAATTGGGTTGTCTCCCGAAAGCGTCTTTCTTTAATATTTTTGGCTAGATAGTATTTATCGGAACTCAACAACTCCCTTTTTAATATTTTTCAACACATGAGAAGACTCATTTCTTGAATCTTGACCAAAATGTCATCAATTGTTAATGACAATTTTGGCATCTGTAAATAAAAGATATGTTCAAAATACAAATGTTGCTCTAGTTGTTTTTTTGTCCATTTGACAACATTAATATTGATGACTTTTGAACCGTCTTTCATCTTGCTAGCATGCTCGTAAATGTACGATATCTTCATAAAAGTGTTAGACGTGCGTCTTCAGATTGTATTGGAATTGGATTCGATTCAATAAAAATATTCAAATTAAAGTTATGATTCGTCCGAGGTGAAAAGACATTTAGTCTTGGATATCCATGACTATTGAATCTTGGGGAGTGTATTTTGATACAGCTGAAACTTGAGGAAATGACCAAATAACCGTTAAATATTCTACTTTTTGGTTGTATCCCAACAACAAATAAATTGAGCAAAGTTTAAAGGACAAATTGTTAAATTTTGATTTTTTTTCCCAGCTATTGTCATGGCAAACAAACATATAAGCTAAAATTTACAAGAATTTTATATTACATGCAGTCGTTGGCAACAATCATAAATCTAATTTGATCTACATAGTGTTATCATGTCACCCTAAATAGAAAGAATCCAGATTGATCTCCCCTTGTGCAACATTTCACCCTAAATAAAAAGAATTTATCCTATCTGGGCAAACAAATGAGGCAATGTACGTTCAATTTTCAAGGTCTTGGGCCCTTGTCAATTGAGGCCCAAATAATGGAGGAGAAGCCCAAGACCCATATGACCTGCCCTGCGCGGATCCATCTTCAGCCAAATTGCCGATCTGTCAACTGATACTTTTTTGTCGATATATCTAAAGGGTGTGAACAAGAACTGGTAAAGCAAACCGATAAAACGACCGCCCAACCAGTCTCATATTCAGAAGCTGTATTTTTGCATGGAGACAAATGTCACTAACTCGCACTCTTAATTGACACAAAGTCATCATTACTGCCATACTTTATTCATGTATAAATCTGGCCTTCAAGGCTTCGAAATACATATCGAAAATTCATAAAAGACATGCTAAAACAATTTTCTTTCTATCATATACACATTTCCTTATTATTCATTTTGGTTGATCTCTCCTTACTGTTTGATGATCTCTCTTTTAGCCACTGTATTTATTTTTTTGCTTCTGCATTTTTACACTTACTTAATTTGGTAACTTTACCCACACTATACAAAACATACATAACAGATGCTACTTTTTCTCCTAAAGTTATTCCTATTTCATTAATTGTGCATTTAAATTCACTCCCTTTACTATGGTTGATATCGAGTGGCAACAAGACCTTACAAGTGTCAACAAGCTAGACCTTACAAAAAGAGTATTATAAAGACTAGTACGTACCCTGTGCGATGTACGGGACATTCATATATAAAGCAATAGGGTTATCATATATTTTCCACCTCTATTAATCAGCGTTAAGTGTAGTAAAATAATTTATATATTATCTCACTAATACATTTATACTAATACAAATTTGATTTTAGTATATATATATTTATTCCTTGATATAAGAGAGAATAATAATTTTACTTATTCTTGTTCACCATATAACACTTCATTATTGTTTTATTATAAACTTTGTTGTCATATAATGTCATTATTATTTATAAAGTTATGGAAGTTGTACGTCTTCTTTTTCTTTTTATTTTATGTAATGAAACATATTTAATGCACATTAGTATTATTTATTTATGTAATCAATTTAAAGTATGTAAATAAATTTAAAATTAAATAGTGTGTAAATATTTTACAAAACATACACATGTTTTTTTTAGAATTTAATTTTGTATACTAATTAAACAAATTTGATTTAAAAAATTTCAAAAACTCAATCTCTTCTATGATCAAGATTTTTCTAATTCGCATTATAAGGATTTATAGTTTATTTAGCATACTCTGCAATGAAAATTTATTTTACAAAAATTTAATTATAGAAATAAATCAAAATAAAAAAAATAATCATGGGTGCCAATAATATACAAATAAATTCTAAAAAATAGTTAATATATTTCAATTTTAATTTTTTACCATTAGTAAAACTATTTAATGTATATGGTCATTATCTCTTAAATGGTAAATTATATTAATTTGAAGAACAATTTACTTTTTATATTTAACAAAATAAACGTAAGAAAAAATATATTGACAAAGATTAATTCACCAACTTGATTTTGTCAGATTACTTGGAAAAACAATTCTACCTAACCTGTACGATTTTCCATAAATATTTTTGTATAAAAAGTGAATATTTGTGAAAAAAGAAAAATTATATTATGGTTAAAACTTAAAATATGGTGTAATATTTATCTTGACCAAAATATTATGAACATGGATTATGGAAATCAATCTTGTAATTTATTATAATGAATATCAATGAAAGTATTACAAATATTAACAAAATAATATTTATCTTGACCAAAAAATTATCAACATGAATTATAGAAATCAATCTTGTAATTTATTATAATAAATATCAATGAAAATATTGCAGATATTAATAAATTTATTTAATTTTTTGAGCATATCTTATTTGATCTTATTTGAAAACGTGTATATGTAAGCAGTTAATGTATATAGTTAAAATGTTTCCAAAAACGGCATGCATTAAATGTTTCCTAAATTTTTTTGCTACTATTTTTAGTAAATGGTAATTCTTATTATATATATATATATATATATATAGATTTGTAAAAGTGGCATACAAAATTAAGCAATAGGGATTCTCAATGGACAAATGCTTTTCTCTAATCCAAGCTACTAAATAAGTCCATATAATATATTTTGTAAATTTTTAAGATGAGATATAATCATATAATGAATATGAAGAAAATTGACATAACTGTGTACTTTAGTTATTTTTTAAAATATTCTAACAATTTTATATTGAGCTTATTGAAAACGAATCTCATTCGGATTTGGCAATCGTTGAGGTTGGAGTAGAAGAAGCAATCAAGGCTAGCCTTCAGGACCACTTGAAGTCCCCCCAGTCGGAATTTAGTGTTGGGGCTCGGTTACGAACGTCGAATTTATGCAAGTCAATGGTACCGCACCAGATCTGAGGTAGTGTTGTAACCGAAGTAGACTACCGAACGACTGTGGGGAAGAATCTTGCCAAAGGCTCGATGTAAACTTTCCTCTCTCCTCTCTTCTATGACGACCCAACGAATGAAGCGAAGCGAAGTTCAGTAAAAAAAAAAAAAAAAAAAAAAAGGGAAACGTAGGGATAAGAAAGCGAAAGGGGACTTGTCCCTTCCGCAAGAGGCACTGAACAACAATCTCGCAGGAACGGATTAATGCAATCACTTTTGGCCTCATTTCTCCTTATGGATAACCACTCCTTGGAACGTCGAACTGTTATTTAGGACTCAGCCACTGACCGAACGAAAAGACACCATGTCTGCATTCGAACGCATCACTAAAGGATAGTCGGTTCCCTTCCTTCCTTTCTGTTCCTGGATGTCTCGTTCCAGGACCATACGTTTTTGTTACCACGAGACATATTGGCAGCCGTTGATCATTTAATTGGATCGCGGCAAGATTTTCTAGCCGAGTTTGGCTACTCGTTGGAATATATTAGAAAAAGGAAGGCAAACGGCGTGGCCGATGCACTTAGTCGAAAGGACTTTGACTTCACTTCGCTTCGCTTTGTTCGTTCAAAAAGACTTCGCCTAATTCTTTTTCATCCTAGGCCGCCTTCTAAAGATGCAATTGACCTTCTTTCTCTACTCACTTGTGCTCTGTTAATAGCAAGCGGCCTATCTACTAATTAACCCTAAGCGTAGCAGAACTAGATGTTAGGGTTCAACTCGTACCGTTTAAAAATTCGCAAAATATAAAACATCAGAACATAGAACATAGACTGTTAATTAAATATTATTCTCATTCAAACGGGAAATAATGTCAACAAAAACCCGAACTCTCTGTATACACACCAACATTTAGAATATCTTTTTATAAATATTTATATGGTAAATATAATATGTACAAATTTTATTTTTTTAAATTAATTATTCGGTCGTACAACTTACCTAGATGTGAAAAACGATAAACTGAAGACCAGCCTCGGTCACTATTTGGGCCAGGTGCAATGTATTGAACCAACCATAATAAGACTGATAGATATGTAGCATGTGAGGTGCCCTTGAAGGGAAGGTAGGTCACGTAATTTGTTTGTAGGTCAGCACACAGGAAATGAGTCAAAACCACCAAACTAAAAGAAGAACAAAAAGAATATTAATCCTAAAATCGCTTGGGAAACTGCCCATGAAGAAAATGAGGGTTTACAAAAACTGAGAAAAACTAAACGTCGATACGGATACAATGGCATCTCACAAGCAGAGTACGTCGTAACCTCGACTGACCTCGTGATGGAAGATAAGATTTTAGGTTCATGCATGTGTGTTGAAGGAACATTTATATTGATTGCTAAGATTGTTGGGTTCATTTTGGATCATACAATACAACCATTGCCTAAAACAACACAAACACTTCTTCAGAATATACATGTGATAACTCATGAGGCTGAATAAGTTCCCGACCAAACATGTCTTTTAGGTGTGCACCGCAACAAATGAAGTTCATTATAAAGACCTACCAAAGATTATCTCCTTGCTCGTCTTCCCTTCTGGTCGCCTTCTTCTTTCCACATTCCCCAAGCTCTTATATATACAATGGTTAGAACCCTGCAAAATGAGACAACACACACAAACACATAGAAAAAAATAAAATAAAATAAAAATCACAAAACATGGACTTGCAGCTTGCTAACAAATTCAAATAACTGACTAAGTTCACAGATTCTTTNTGCAAGCTGTAATAATACAGAACTGTTAGCAAATTTATGAACATACCTGGATATCAAAGTTCATCCAGAAGTTAAAGGCTCATCCTTCATCATCATCCTCAGAACTTGATGTGTCATCTTCACTGTTTTCATCGACTTGAATTTTCACCTGAACCTCAACCACCGGTATAGGATGCATGGGCGAAGTCCCTAACAGTGCAAAAGAGCTTAGATCAGTAAAATATAGAACTGTTTCCAACAACCTGTGGGTGTACTGCTAGAATCACAAAGATGAAATGCATTCATGTCTTGGCAAGCAACAATATCCCATTCTAGAACACTACCCAAGGCTCAAACTCTTCTCGGCAGATGATTAATGAACTAATAGATTAGTGTTCGATCAGTAACACAAGGAGGGAACCTAGGCAAATCTGCAGGAACATCAACCAAGAAAAAAAGAAACAAAAGGACCACCCAAAAAGATCAACCTACAGACCACTTATATCACATACTGAACCAATCTGGCCCAACCGCCCAAGTACCATACAAGCAATAATGAATTTATAAAGATTAGGTTGAAAAACCTTAAACTCAATTTCCCTACACTGAAACTCCTTTTGATGTCCTTAATGAAACCCTCCTAAGTCCAACCACCACTAAAAAGTTATAATTAACAACAATCACCAATATTTCATTTTCTTGTAAATTTTTACCCCACAATACTCAGTACCGTCCAAGCCCAATACACTGGTAGTATCACTTGATAGCGGATACCATCTGAAGATCCTAACTCAGACCAATTCAATTCCCATCATAAATTTATCAAAGGAGACAAGCTTCAACCATTTATTCCTCTTATTTCATTCTAATCAGTCTTATCACCATTTACCAAACATCCTAGATCTGAGAAGAGACAACAAAAACCCATTTCCTGTAAACAGAGACTCGTTTACCAGATCAAGCGGCCAAAACGATTGACTGCAGTCTCAATTTAATCAAGTAAACTGTAATTAATCAATTTTCGTCACCTTCGATGAAAAAGGCGGAGGAGGGCCAACCCTTTCCCGATTCGAGCGCCATCTGTTGGTCCTCCGACAAAAATTCGCCCTGCGACCGCCGTCCCTTCGCTGGATCCAGCGAGGCTAATTTTCCGAGGACCTCGATCACACTGCCCGCCGAGTGGCCGCGCATGGATGTGGCGCGCGGTGGGACCCAGTAGGAGTGCCCAGGGAGGAAGGGGAGCCAATCGGGCGCCGCCCGGCGCACGATTATGGTGTGTATGGCCTCCTCGAGCTTCCTGATGCCGGAAGTGATGACCTCAACGGCCGCCTCTGGCGATTCCGACGGCGACGATTCCAGGTCAACCTCAATTAGCTGGGCGCGGTGGGTTTTGCTGGAGCCGTGGCGGCGGTGACCGATTAGCGCGGCAGGGGGGCGGAGTGTAGAGCGGGTTCGGAATTGGGAAAGAATTCGAGCGATGGCCATGGGAGAGGAAAAGTGCAGATGATTTCTTCTTCGGGAGAGTGTGAGCGTCGGCGCACGCATATCCCTTATATATAATTTTTTTTTTACTATGCTGAATTTTAGTGGCAGACTATATATTTGGCTTGGATAGATTTTAATTTACCCACACTTTAAAAATAATTAAGTTTGAAATAACTATAAATATACTTGAGAAAGCTATCATGACTTCATATAAGAGGACGTCGAGGTCACTCGGAAGAAATCAGTTCTAGATAACTTCGTCCCATTCGTGCTGGTAGTGACGACGAAATAGACTCTGAAGTTAGTACTTATGACATCAGCAACACATACTCTCGTCTATTTTATACCATGCCCGTCGAAAATCGTAACATTCAGGTGTTCTCTTAAATATCTTTTCGTCTTGAGCACTCCATTATTGTTTCCCATTTTGAAAAATAGGTCTCTTTGATCCGATTAAAAATTTGGGTTTAGAAAAATCTGTTGTGTCTGTTGGTAAGTTTTGCCCTCATTTAGTTTCTGAGTTCTATGTTAATCTCACATCTAGTGTGAATGTGATTGGGTCTCCAAAATACCACAAGGTGTTTGTTCGCAATTGTGTCATCGAGTTTTCACTTGTTGTGATAAACTCTTATCTTGGTTTTTCTTTTGGTTGATCTGTGTCTGCTCTTGATGATAATTTGTATGAAGTGACAAATGCTCTGACAGTAGGAAAACTGACAGATCCAAATTGACTAATTGGATCCGTCCCAATCTGTTTGTCAAAAGCATCACTTATCAAGTCAATGCCCTTCAAAAGATTGGTTCACTCAATTGGGCTCACAAACAGAGAGTTACACCCATTTAGGCTCGTGTGATTTTTCGTGTACTGTGTGGAAAGCCGTTTGATCTTAGTTGTGTTGTGCTTGACTCCATTGTGTCTTTTACTTGCGTTAGTATGACCGATAAGTTGTTGCCCTTTCCTTATGTGATCTTTGGACTATTGTCCAACTCTGGGGTCAGGGGTGGGGCCATGTACAAATTTTCCCTGGATAGAATTTTCTGGGACCATGTATATACATATACATATATACATACCTAAAATAATTTTAATTATATGTATAATATTAAAATTGAAATTGAACAATGTTTATAATGTTAGTCTAACTAATTAAAATATATGTCATAATCACATCAAATAAAATTATCGAACCACTTTAAATCTACATAACCATCACATAAATATCAATTTTGAGGGATTTTATCTTGATAAAATTAAATAATTCCTTGAAAACTGAGAAATAATTGTCCATAAGTTAAATTTGTTACTAATAAACGATCTTTTTCTCTCTTTTTAATTTTTGTTTTCTTGTTGTCATAATGAAGTGTCATTGAATTTTTTAAGTCCAATTTTAAATTTAAACTAAAAAATATATTTTTTGTTAAACGAATATATTTCAAAAGAATATTTGTTGTAAAAGTACTTAAAAATAGTATTTTTATAATAATTTTTTGTTTAATATCTGCTATAATTTTAGCCCGAGTAAGTTATAAATTCTGGCTCAGCCCCTGCCTAGGGTTAAGTTAGATGTCAGGGTGGGTGATGAACTAGCACTTGCAAGCATATCTCTTACTCTTACCACCAGGAAGGTTGCCTCCAAAGTACATTTATCTGTCAAAGCATCTGATGTATGTGCTGATCTAGGGAAGTTCCTAACCCAACATATCGCATTATTTGGTGGCCTTGAAAAAAGGCTTTCTGATCAAAGGAGGTACTACAAGGAAATCCTAGGAGCTCTGAAGACTGCCCCCTTGGCTCCTAAACCTAAAAAAATGGAGAAGATAAAGGTAAAAAAGGCTAAAGCAGCTGGCACAGATGGTAAAAGGAAATGATACACAAAGGAAGTACAACCAGAGGAAGAGCAAAGAGCAAGAGAAGAAGTGTCCGAGGATGAGGAAGAAGAATCTAAAGAGGAGGAAACTGAGGGGAATTTGGTTCAGAAAGTTATGATGAAGTTGGAGATAATGACAATTCCAAAAGTCAGACTAGCACACCACCTTGTCGGTTCCTCCAACACTTGAAGTATTTATGGTTGTAGGACGATGTTTATAAGTGCATATGGGTCAAGTGGCTCTGGTTCTTATCTACTATAAACGTGGAAGTTTACTCAAGTATGCACTCAGACCACGACAGAATGATCGAGCTCTGACAAGTCTTATCTTGTCCTCGACAATTCGTAATATCCATTACACCTGTTCAGAAGTTAGTAATTGTTGTAGTAATTTTTACCGGAGTTAAATCAAAAGATTCGAACACCGGGTCGTGTCTCACGAAGAAGGTTAGCCGAAATATTATGCACGTTTATTCAAGCACAAATAAAAGAAATAAAATTCCTAAACATTCTAACTCAGATTTTGGTTTGAATTTTGATAAACAACTACGAATATAAAAACGCAAATTCAGAAAGTAGAGTAAAAACAATCAATCAACTAGAATAAGGTAGCTAGGGAATCGGGGATAATAATATTGATTTGATATGCAATTGTCGGGCAAGTGATTGTTCAGTTAAGTGATTTGAATAACCTGCTCGTTCAAGTACTCATCCTCAATAACTCTTCGTAACAAGAGAACAAACTTGAACGACAAATTAACAAGTCATTTAACACTTAGGCAATACAACTACGAACAAGCCTAGCTTATACGAGCCTATTTCACTCGGTTCCTCCCCTTTCGGTTCTAAGAGACAATTAAATTAGACTAGAGGGTGATTAACTGACTAATCAATTAGAATACCCAATATCATTCAAGATAAATCGGACTCAATTGAAAATCAATTGGAAGTTGAAGTGTCACCCTTCAACAATCCTCAATATTCAAGTATGATAAGAAAACTTAAAATATCAACTAGCATAAGAAGAACAATCAGCGAACACGACAATCACAATCGAAATCAAAATATTAATCCTCTATCCCTAGCATAAGAATTTAGCTACTCATGATCGATTCAACACCAACAATCTCATCAAACAAAGCCATAACATTCATGTATAAAATGAAAAGAAATGCTTACGATTAATAACGAATTTAATGTCGAAAAACCATAAGCAATCCAAATCCAAAAGTCTAATCTTGGAATTTTTACTATCCAAGATTAAAATCCCAATCAAAACCAAGAGAAAATATGTTTTGGGAGTGAAAAAAATCAAAATACAATGTTCAAAGATGTCTGGAAAATACCCTAAGCTCAATATTATAACCCTCCATTTCGAAATTCCAAAAAAATCGCAACTGTTAAAAATCGGACCTTAGCAGCGCTAACCCTTTAGCGCTGCTAACCACAATTTAGCCGGAAAGGCCTTGTCGTCGCTAGGTTGTTGCTAAGTTTCAAACACCGCTAGTTTCTGCACCCTTAGCGGCGCTAGGGTCTGGGCAGCTTGCGCGACTTCACGTCTTGGGCTCGTTTGAGCTCGTCCGGACTCGGAATTGAGTTCCGCTTTTCCTACATGTCGCCAACGAACTCCTCTATTAAATTATGCATGCCCGACTAATATTTTCCTGAAATCCCATCTTCCCGAGACCTCCAACCTGCACACCAACGAAGACGAAAATTCGGAAAACGACCGAAAGACACAAGATAGAAAGAAAATAGAACAAACCACGAAATAAACTATAAAATAGACTAAAACCCAACGAAAACACCTAAAGTAGGAGAAAAAGAAATGAAAAATAACAAGAAAAAACGTAACAAAAATGGGACAAACAACTCCCCCACACTTAAACCTTTGTTTGTCCCGAACAAAAAGACACGAAGAGAAAAGAAAAGAAAAACAAGCAAAGGAGCATGGATAACAGTTTCAAATAAGACAAGTCTCAAATTAATCAACATAGCCGAGGAGACATCCAATGACCAATATAACATACCTCAATTACAACTCGAATGCTACGCTTTGAAAAGACAAACTATCAAGCACGGAAGTATAATACATATATATACCTCACTCAGTTTCTTGCATGAATATGAAATGGGTTCGCCCAAATTGGTCGATCATCATGCTTCAACATAAGCTTGCCTATTGTCTATTCATACTCCAAAACAATCAAGGATAATGAATTTGCAAATCAAGAGGACTTTCGGGGTTGTAATGTAGGTATCAAAGGAAAGATGAATATAAAGATAAATGGCTCACATAAACAACCATACTCTCGAGCACAATAAATACTCGAATATCTCACCACCTATCCGTAATCAACATGAAACTAATCATTCCCACCAAAAACTCCATACACTTCCGAAAGGAAGGAGAGTGAAAGTACACACATGCTCAAACTGAAATGCAAATTAAGTACTCGACTTTTTTTTTTGTTTTTTTTTTTTGTTTTTTTACTATTCATTTTTTTTTAATTTTTCTCTCTTTTTTAGAAGGGTTTTGCTTTTTCCTAACAAGATCGAGACGTAAGGACGACATTCTCTCCCTTTTAAGTGGAGTAGAATCCTTTTCGCTCATCTTGCGAGTTCCCTTTCTCTTTTTCTTTTTATTTGTTTTGTAGTCAAGCACTAAAAATGCAATTTAAACAAGTTCTATACCTCATCCAAACACATAGTAGAAAACTCCGTCATCATAACAAGTACAATGTCAAATCTCAAGTAATTCAATCAAATCGGTTGACAAGAAACACAGTTCAAAGCTCAACGGGCTACTAATGAAAATATAAATTCAGGGGTCGGTGAAAAAGGCTAAAATGAGCTATGTCAAAGAAATGACTCAATCATTTTCACAAATCACAACTTCAATCGCTTCATTTCAAAACAGACTCAAAAAAAGTTCTGATCAGACCAATATCTCTCAAGAAACAACATAAGGCTCAAAACTCACAAAAGGTAAATAAATGTCCAACAAAACGACACATCGAGTTCATCAAAATATACTGGTCATGATCATTATCACATCTCCTCAACATCATCAACAATCCTCAACAAATCTCACAATCCACCACAATCCATACTCACAAAACACACAAAAAGGCAAAAGACTGGACACCCAACAAAAACAAAAAATGAAAACACCCTAAAAGAAC